TGGGTTGCGTGTGGGTCACATGCAAGCCGCACCTAGGTTCCAGGTGCATTTCCAACACGCTTCCGCGTTAACTTGCGCCGGATCCCGGTATGGCTCGAGCAAGCCCACACAAAAAACACCGGGTGGATGCGCTTCCGTTTCTGAAGGTTTAGCGTATACACAAGGCTCCGCTTGGCCACAACCTTGAAAGATGCGAATAAAACGTAGACAGATCTTTGTCTTGAAGACAGCAGAAATTGCATGGGTAGGGAGAGTTTTCGTATCTAAGACGACCAAGTCTTTGACCTCAGATGTGTGACCGTACATATGTGCGGATTACACGAGTCGACCTCTTCCATCTGCATATTCCTTCTGCATGTTTTGGCTTTCAGCCATTGAATCGCGAACGTGTCGTAAGACCCTCAGTCTGTTGGAAAGGAAGTCATCGACCTCTTTACGAACAATGAGAGGACTGACATCAGCTAGCCGCTCGGATTTTACTTCCCCACAAAGCCCTAATCCATGGATGGCGGCGTTAGCGGGACGCGAGGATGAACGAGCCCGTTCACGTAAGACGGCGTATCAGTCAGTAGACGAATGCACTGCATTGTTCAGAGCGAACTCTACAAGTGGCAGTATGATGCTCCAACACCTCGGAGTCTCTCCGCAGATGCTGCGAAGGACACCCTCAACGATGCAATTTACGCGCTCAGTTTGACCATCGGTCTGCAGAAGGTCCGTTGCTGACAAATCCAGCTTGGTGCCCACCACCTTGAAGATTGCTGACCAAACTTTCTAGTGAATCGTGGGTCTCTGTCATATACAATTGACTCCAGGAACCCATGTTGTCGAAATACACCTTCCGCGAAAAGCGTCGCTGTACCGACACTGTCGATGGTGTCCGGCACCGCCGCAAGATGGCTCATCTTGCTCAAACAGTCGACGAAGACCACGACACCCGCGTTTCCCGCCGAGTCCTTCGGCTGGCCAAATACAAAGTCCAAACTCATGGACTACCAACACCCGGAGGGTACTGGCATACTGGCCAGCGGCGACGCCGCATAAGGAGAGAGTTTCGTCCTCTCGCAAGTCTCCCAAGTGCGCACATATGTGGTCGTCCATTTGTACAGCTTGGGCCACCTGTGCTGGCAGCTCCCAGAGCTGTAGGTCTTCTCACGACCGAGATGACCACTTAGTGGGGTGTGAAGAGAAGAGAGGAGGTGGACCTCATAGAGATTACGATATTTTCACTTCTTCATCGTGAGGAACCACAATTCGTGGCGTATCCGTCGAATAGGTGCTATAAACATCAACCCGTTATTCAACGAATATCGGTTCTACTGTGCGCGCAAACGCGCCGACTAATTCTTGTTCAAGTTTCCAAAATCCTTGCCTTTAAGAATCTGTAGCAGCGCTACACACATACCGTCACCCGCGTATGCGGCGCGGATTAAATTCGTCACTGACGACGTCACCGTCATGACACGAACAAGCTCATAATCCGGTCTTCAACTCGGCGTTATATTCTGATAATGAGGAGGGCTACCTGGCCATCCTCTGCGATAGCTTAGGTGACTGAGTCGCAGTGCGTTGAGACGCATGATCTGTGTAGATCACGAACGGCTTTGAGCCAAGCAAGTGCACCCTGAACTTGACAAGTGCATAACCGCAAGTAATTCCTTGTAGTGAACTGGGAAGTTCCTCTCCGCAGCCTTAAACTGGCGAGATCCGATCGCGATCACGCGATCTCACACCCTCGGCGTCTGCTCGCAGCAGCGCACAGCCGATTGTAACGTCCGAAATGTCATAACCGACACTTAAAGGACAATCGGAGAGACGCAGTGGTCGTAGCTGCCGACGACATTTCTGGCAACGCCAATATTAGTGCATAAACTAAGCTGTCTTTGACCTTGTTTAAAGCCTCTCGATGCTCGGTGTCCCAACACCATTCGTTTAAGTCCGTATCGAAATAATGCATTAAGCATTTTTCGAAGTCATTCAATGCATGATGTCAAATGGAGCCATCTGGCGGTTGTTGCGCATAGCGTTATGTGTGATCGCCGAGTGCAAGCTGTAATAACCGAGTCGAAGAGTGATCATAACAGACTTCGCCAGATTAATTTGCTCCGATGTAACACAGGACAATATCTCGAGCTGATACGATCGCGACAACATTTACACTTGAAAATTGATCTCCTCGAGTTGCGCAATGGCAGCTGGATCTATGATCACCTCGCCGGCGCCAGGGCAAGTTTCAGCCACATCATGTCTCAATCGAGCACAAACATTGTACCCATTGCTTTACTAATCTCTTCAATTTACAAGTTTTACAAAAGGTAGGTCGGTCATGCTTCAAACTAATGCTTCTGAATTAATCAGAAACGCTGTAGCATACACTTCGTCGCGATTTTTGACGTATTTAAAGTTGTTCAAGATTGAACACTTTCATAGTAGCTCGACGATCTAGTCGAGGTCATCGAAATTACAGTTATCTTTACTGAGGCCGCAAAAAAATGTGACGAGATTATGTTTCAAGACATATCAGAGATATTTGTCAGGTAAGCTGCGTCAAGCACATGAGAAAGCTTGCCGAAGGCCACTTCTGCGTTGTCGCATTTCGTTTTTGCAATAGAAGTTGACAGCTATGCCTTAATAGTCCCAAAAACGTCATGATAGGCTTATCAGCAGATATTTGTACCGCTTCTTTAAAGCCACGACAACTACTAAGTCTACTGGCTACTTTATTGACGTTGTATTAGGAGAAAGAACTCAACCCGAAATCCATTCCGCTCAAACGCAGATGCATGAATTTGTTTGCTGTTTAGATTATACGGTAGCTTGCGACAGGTACATTTCTGATTGAAAGGCTCGAAAATCTTATCATACCATTTGTTGAAGGTCGGAACATGCGTTCTTGTTGCATGTACGAAATCGTGCAAATGTTGCCTGTTATGCGCGCTGAATCCATCGCTTTTCCTATCATGGTGATAGCTCCGCGTTATTCTCGGTAGCGTTGCATCGTACGACATGGGTCACTAAATCTCCGGCTTCCTTTATGGTCCGAGCGATAAGAAAGATCTCTACTTAGCAACTGAACAGTAAATCAGGGGAACAGCGTCAAAGAGAAGCCTATCTCTTCCATGTTGTAGACGTAGGACGAAGGGTTTTTGGTTGATCACCAACCCTAGCCCTGTAGAGCTTTAGTATATTTCTGTCGATTGCATCACTTTTTTAAAAAGATGTAAGCTCAAATTGATAGCGATCTTTGGCAAATCAGCTCCACGAAGCTATGAAATTTGTTCAGGGATGCCTAAGACAACGGTAATCACTTTATCCTTATGGTATACAACAGTTGGGGACACAGTTGGTGCAAAATCGATTAAATGAAAAAGGCGCTTCTAATATCAGAAAGGCTGTCAGCGGATACCCGGAAGGTTGTTACCCGGGTCTCTCGTTCGAATCGTTGCACTCTTTCACGTTCTGCATCCGATTCTGCGATTCTGCTCGTAATAGCCATACTGCTTTGCTACATTTTGCATGGAAAGGGGTGTCGGCTGATCATGAAGTGCAAGGATCTTCATCCTCTGGCTGCTATTTGAAGAACAGCTTCGCCTTTACGCTTAAGTGATTGCTGACAGCCCAAAGAAGATACAAACTAATCACTAAAGACGAGTGCCATGGGGTTTGACCCCTGATTGTATCACGGACAAGTTCACAAATGATCTGAGAACAAAACACGGTCTCACGTTTACCGTAGTCAATTGAACTCTTTTTTGGCAGCATAAAGTCATCTTTTTAAACATTACTCATGCGTAGCTCAGTTGTTCCGAGGTCCCAAGGTACTGGTCTGATAAGGACGATAGGACCCTTGGTTTCAGGTTAAGCAGTACAGTCGCTTCATTATACATTGTTATACTAAGCATATAATTTTTGAGATAACATTATACATATATGTATGTATATTAATTTTAACAAAACAAAGCAGAACTAACTACAAATTATTTTGAGGAGCTCCCCCGAGTAAACCGTTCGATTACACTCACTTTTGCGCTGTTTAGCGGACACGCCGAGTCAAACTTGCTCTGTAAAAGATGCACAACTACCCTGTTCCACATGAAAGCGTTTGCTAACATACCAATGGCCAAGTCGCAAAGTACTTTACCTTCTGGAAAGATGGAGCAAAGGTTAGAACATTGACGATCACAGGGGATGGGGAATTGGCGGATGAAGCTGTATCTGCTTAAATGGATGCGTTCATCAGCTATGAGAGTGTGTCAGCAGGACACCGTCTGAGACGCTCCAACCAGGCGTCCGTGAAAGCGAAAATAGGACTCTCTGAGACCACTGATTCTATCTGTCCAGCCCTTTGGGGGATTGGACGAAAAAGAATTATAATCTGAATGCGGAAGATGATATGACCATATTTTTATTTCGGGAAGTGCGATCACCTCTGTAGAAGAGGCGGTGAGGGTTGAAGCGACAACTATCGCAAAGGCTTTCAACGCCTTATCAGGGTTGTTGGGTACGACCATAGCTCTGTCTACCTGTCAAAAAGGGCTTATTTAGCGAACTGTGCTTAAGGGTTGCGTAATTGTATTACCGTAATGGCAGGAGAACCCCTCAAAGGCTGTGGCAATTGCCATCATTGTTGAGGATCCCTAAAAGGGTAGGGCCAACGCTGAAAACTTCGGCGTCCACTACAATTCTACTCTCTTTCGACGAAACGGTTGATAACGAACTAATTGCGGAAAACAAATTTCGTGTCGCGAGGGTCGATTGTGATATGAAGGTTAAAAATATCATTAGAGAAAAAGAGGCAATGCGTTGGTAGCCTAATTCATGTAGAGAACAATGTTTTGGTTACCGAGAAGTCGTAGACCTATACCTCATCTGTGGTAGCACAAATCATTCGTGCCACGCAAGCCCTCTTCTTTCAATTAACTGAGACGAACGGTTGATCAAATTTTCACGCAGGGCCGTTCAACAAATCTCGCACGGCAGAATTGTAAAATAAGAGTACGTGCAAGATACCGAAAGAAACCTTTTCCATACCTTGTAGAGTGAATGGGCAATGAGGTCCAGCACTGAACGAAGCGGACTTTGCTTGTAGAGGTGGGTTAAAAGCTCAGGATGCAGGTTGTTAAAATCAACGTCCGGTAACTTTTAGGCCATAGGAAGTCCTATTAGATTCAAAAGCATTGCGTATCCTTCTCAAGGAGATTCGACAATGGCCGTGCCGATCTCGCATAATTTGTGCTATACTTGTGGAAGTAGGTGGCGAGGCCAAGCCACTTGTGCCAGTCCTTTTGGTTCTTTGGAGCCGGCCAGTCCACAATGGCCTTGACCTTAGCGGGATCCGCCCGAAGACCACGCTTCCCAATGAAGCACCCTAAAAATGAAATCTCTTCTGCGCCAAAGATGCACTTATTTGCATTGGCGTACAGTTTGTTCGTACGCATGCACTCGAGCACCGCTCTTAGATGGACGATGTTGTCTCCTCATCCGTCCTCCCGTGCTCCGCACGACTATGAACGGAAATGTCATCGAATTATATTTGTGCATACGCCCTGTGGGGCCTGAACAGCTGCGTCACAAGACGATAAATTGTTGCTGGTGCATTTGACAGCCTTTGGTACATCACCAGCCACTCCCAGAGCATGCCGCTCGGAGTGCTCACCGCCGTTAGCAGAATATCACTCGCTCTCGTGAGCAACTGGTATTACCCATCAACCAAGTCGAGTGCACTGTACTTCGTACATCCCACCATGTTTTTCTGATGAACATCCTTTCTAGGAATCGATGTCTATGCCAGAATGGTGGCAGCGTCGAGCTTATTGTACGCATGAACGATACGCCACTTGCCGTTCGGCATTCGAACACAAAACGTGGGTGTCGAATGGGGAGACTTGCTCTCACGTACCATCGCCGAGTCGTATTTCGCTCGGAAAAAGGCGTCAATGACGTCGAACTGCTCCTTGGGCAAAAGCCATTTGCGTTTTACGCAGTATTTGGCTCCCGGAACCAGGTCGATCTCGTGACGCACACCTCGGTCCGAAGGTAGGACCGAAGGCGAGTCTTTTTGGGACGACGTCTTGGAATTCCTTAACCAAAGGATAGTACAAATCCAAGGAATTCCGTTGGATCGACGATCCACTTCGTGCGTTTAGCACTCTCTTGGTGTCCTCCAAGAAAGCTTCATCCAGAAGCGATGCCTGTCGTACAATGACCACTTCAGCCAAATCGCCTTCAAGACACTGCCGAACTCTTCAAGGGACATCTCGTCCAGCTCAAGAAGTTCATCTTCTGCAGGCATAGCCTAGAGGCGGACGTCGCCATCTTCCTCCCCCGTCATACGGTTGACGTGGGTGTATGACTGTGTACCA